TTTGTCTGAAGGTAGGGCGCTTCTTCAGCAGTAGCACGCTGCTGGACTCACCACTGCAGCTTGTCATTGATATTGATTTTGGCTCCCGAGGCTGGGCAGCCCTCTCAGACGATGCGAGGGGGCGACGCGAGGGGAGGGGGGCGGTCCCAGAGTTCCAACGTCTTGACCCTCGCGGTCCCCGGAAACCCCGATCCTCGTCCGAGTTGGACGTCGCACAGATATGGAGGAGCGATGAATGAGAGGGGGTGGGGGCAGCGAGGACTGCAGAAAAGGGGCCCTGAAGGGAGGGCCCCAGAAGGGGGCCCTTACGAGGAGGACAAGGAGGAGGAGGAGGAGGAGGAGGAGGAGGAGGAGGAGGAGGAGGAGGAGAGGAGGAGGAGGAGGAGAGGAGGAGGAGGAGGAGGACCCCGAGGAGTGCCCCCCCCCCCCCCCCCCCCCCCGCCTCACTTATCGCTCCCCCCCCCCATGGAGGGACCCCCCCAACACCAAGAGCTCCAGGGCAGGCCAGCGCCCGTCCTCGGGCCGCTCCCCTGGCGGCCCCGGGGGGGCCCAGGCACGGGGCCGCGGAGGCCAAATGGCACGTTGAAGCCTCCGCCCGATGCTTCTTCCAGACGGGCCGGGGCTCGGAGGTCAAAAGTCGCCTCTTCGGTTCTCGGCCTCCCAGATGGGGTCGGAGTAGATGGGGTCGGAGGATCTCGCCGCATCGCCGATGCATCGCCGATATATCGGTGATACTGCTCGACGTGGAGCCCGATTTCCTCCACGTCGACGTCACCTTTGCATCGCCGACGTCGCCGACGCATCGGCGATGCATTGCCGATGGATCGCCGATGTATCGGCGATGCGGCGCGATCCTCCGACCCCATCTACTCCGACCCCATCTAGGAGGCCTCTGTCGGTAGCAAATCATGGGAGCCTTGTATACCCTCGTGATTCCGTCTGTAGCGTCGATGAGCGTCGATTAGCGTCCATTAGCGTCTGGGAGTCGATGAGATAGCACCGACTCAGCGTCGGCTGGCGTCGATTAGCGTCGATTCGGCGTCGATCTAGCGTCGATCCAGCGCCGACCGGCGTCGATGCGCGAGACGACAAGGTGGCACGGGAGGCTCCCGTGAGCTGCCGCAGAACGCGCCCCTGCTCAGCTGTTGGCTGCGCGTGCCGCGACGGAGAGCGCGAGACGGCAGCGCGCGCGGGCGCATCGGCGACGACGAGGCCATCCCTTTGCGGACAAATTGCGCCCGCTGTGGGGCTGCGCGGCCTGGGCGCTCCGTGCTGGCCCCGGCGAGCTCTTCCACCAGGTGTCTGGCCCTGGCACGGGGCTGTGTTCCTCCTACCCCTCCTGCTCCGGTTCCTCTTCCTCTCCTGCACCGCGGCGTGGCCTGGCAGCGCGGAGGCGGCCAGGAAGGGCCGGCTGAGGTTCGTTCCCCCCCCCCCTTGGTCTGGGTGAGGGGCTGCGGCTCGCAGGCCCAGGGTTGTTTCAATATGATGTCGCGATTTTTGTTTGGTCGCCAGGTTCATCCTGTCGGCGAAATGTGTGACCCGAGTGCGCCGGAACTCGAGTTTGCCGGCGCTTCTGAAGGGCGTGTCCTGGTTTTTGGCGGTCCAGTTTTCGTGGGCAGCGGGAGCTCGCGTCAAATTGCAGACTGGGCCGTCGTGATTTTTTCCGACGGCACCGTCAGGCCAACCTGAGTCCCTCGAACCCGAGCATTGCAGTCGAAATCGATAGTAAGGATGAGCGACTTCCCAAAGGTACCCTTCTATCGGCTATCTTCGGTTCATCCTCAACCACCTTCGATGGCCAGCGCCGCTCGAGGAGCCTCGGCATGGGCGTCCAAGGCCCTCGTATCCTCACCGCGCATCCTTGCTGTCCGTTTTGACTGTGCGTCCACCGGGCCCACAGGGGCGCGCGGATGGCCCCGTCAGGCCAACCCGAGCCCCCCGACCCCGAGTCTTGCGTCTCCCCGATGCTGGCGTGCGCCATGGGCCAGGATCTCGCGGCGGCCACGACGGCCGTGGCCACGAGGAGCCTCCTGGAGGCGCCACGCATGCGAGGGCCTCGCAGTTGGAGCCTCGAGAACGGATTTCGAGTAGGGGATCGACTACAAAATGGATCTACTCCAGGATTGGTTCTCCCGCCGAGTATGCAACGCAAGCGCGTCGCATGTTCGTAGATCTACGGGGCAGCATGCCCATCTGTCGCAGCTTCAGCGGGAACATCAAGTTTGGGGTAAATCAAATCAGTTCAGTAGCCGATCCCGTGCAATGGATGCCCATGCCAAGCCCATGCCAAGAAACCCTGCTCGCCTCCAGGGTGCCCTGGGTTTTTTGGGTCTCGGTGGTTTTGCGATGGAAAGCGTGACGTTTCCACCAATGATCGATGGACGTCATAGGGTCTTGTGGACTGGCCTCCGACTCGACTATTCGTCCATATGGTTTCAGTGCGCTGGGGGCTCGGGGCCGTGGCCCAGCGGGCCCTGCTGCCGTAGCCGCCGGCGCACGCCATGCCAGCCACCCGCTGCCCGCCCTCCCGTGTGCTGCTCGCCGCGCCCTGTCCCGCAGACGGTCAAGGACAAGATCCAGGGCCCGAAGAGTAAGAAGAAGGCCGGGAGGGCAGGGCTCGTTTCGATTCCTCCCACCCGATTCGATTCGATTTCGATGGCTTCCGATTCCGACTCGATTCGACTGGGGATTCCGATTTGGATGCCCATTTCTCAGTGGAGGCCTACTAGCCTGCCAATTTTCCGCTGACTCAACGTTTCCCGACTCGGCTGCCGAGTTCCGCCGATCCCATTCGTTCCGATCGCCGACTCGACTTGCCAACTAGATTTGCTGGGCTCTCCTGGGAGGGAGGGTCGGCGGCGAGCCCCAGGAGGGGCACATCGTCCGCTCCGGTTCTGCCAATCCGCGGCCCCAGAGGTCCCGCCCCCCTTCCCTGGTGGGCCTGTTCTCCACCACCACCACCACCACCACCACCACCACCACCACCACCACCACCACCACCACCACCACCTTCACCACCACCACCACCACCACCACCACCACCACCACCACCACCACCTTCACCACCACCACCACCACCACCACCACCTTCACCACCACCACCACCACCACCACCACCACCACCACCACCACCACCACCACCACCACCACCACCCACCACCCACCACCCACCACCCACCACCCACCACCCACCACCCACCACCCACCACCCACCACCCACCACCCACCACCCACCACCCACCACCCACCACCCACCACCCACCACCCACCACCCACCACCCACCACCCACCACCCACCACACACCACACACCACACACCACTCACCACACACCACTCACCACACACCACACACCACACACCACACACCACACACCACACACCACACACCACACACCACACACCAC